TGAGAATTTTTGCATCTATGTTCATCAGCAATATTGATCTGTAGTTTTCTTTTTTGTGTGATATCTTTGTCTGGTTTTGGTATCAGGGTGATGGTGGCCTCATAGAATGAGTTTGGTAGTGTTCCTTCCTCTGCAATTTTTTGTAAGAGTTTCAGAAGGATAGGTGTTACCTCTTCTCTAAATGTTTGATAGAATTCACCTGTGAAGCCATCTGGTTGTGGACTTTTGTTGGGAGTTTTTATTATTTATTTATTATTATTGTTTTTTTCGGTATGCAGGCCTCTCACTGTTGTGGCCTCTCCCGTTGCGGAGCACAGGCTCTGGATGTGCAGGCTCAGCGGCCATGGCTCACGGGCCCAGCTGCTCCACAGCACGTGGGATCTTCCCGGACCGGGGCACAAACCCGTGTCCACTGCATTGGCAGGCAGACTCTCAACCACTACGCCACCAGGAAAGCCCTGTTGGGAGTTTTTAAATCACAGTTTCAATTTCAGTAATTGTGATTGGTCTGTTCATATTTTCAATTTCTTCCTGGTTCAGTCTTGGAAGGTTGTACCTTTCTAAGAATTTGTCCATTTCTTGTAGGTTGTCCATGTTGTTGGCATAGAGTTGATTGTAGTGGTCTCTTATGATGCTTTGTATTTCTGTGGTGTCCATTGTAACTTTTCCTTTTTCATTCCTAATTTTATTGATTTGATCCCGCTCTCTTTTTTTCTTGATGATTCTGGCTAAAGGTTTATCAATATTGTTTATCTTTTCAAAGAACCAGATTTTAGTTTCATTGATCTTTGCTATTGTTTTCTTTGTCTCTATTTCATTTATTTCCTCTCTGAGCTTTATGATTTCTTTCCTTCTACTAACTTTGGGTTTTGTTGTTTCTTGTTTCTCTAGTTGCTTTAGTTGTAAGGTTAACTTGTTTATTTGAGATTTTCTTGTTTCCTGTGGTAAGACTATATTGCTATAAACTTTCCTCTTAGAACTGCTTTTGCTGCATCCCATAGGTTTTTAGATCATTGTGCTTTTGTTTTCATTTGTCTCTAGGTATTATTTCCTTTCTGATTTCTTCAGTGAGCCATTGGTTGTTTAGTAGCATATTGTTTATCCTCCAAGTATTTGTGTTTTTTTTAGTTTTTTTTTTCTTGTAGTTGATTTCTAATCTCATAGTGTTGTGGTTCGAAAATATGCTTGATATGATTTCAGTTTTCTTAAATTTTCCGAGGCTCACTTTGTGGCCTAGCATGTGATCTATCCTTCAGAATGTTCCATGTGTGCTTGAGAAGAATGTGTATTCTCTTGCTTTTGGATGGAGTGGTCTATAAATCTCAATTAAGTCCATCTGGTCTAATGTGTCATTTAAGGCCTGTGTTTCCTTACTGATCTTCTGTCTGTCAATCTTTCTAATGAGGAAAGTGGAGTGTTAAAGTCCCCCATTGTTATTGTGAATTTCTCCTTTTATGGCTGTTAGTGTTTGCCTTATATATTGAGATGTTCCTATGTTGGGTGCATAAATCTTCACAATGGTATCTTCTTCTTGGATTTATTCCTTGATCATTATGTAGTGTCTTTCTTTTTCTCTTGTAACAGTCTTTATTTCAAAGTCTATTTTCTCTGATATGAGTATTGTTACTCCAGCTTTCTTTTGATTTCCATTTGCATGGAATACCTTTTTCCATCCCCTCACTTTCAGGCTGTATTTGTCCCTAGATCTGAAGTGGGTGGGTCTCTTGTAGAGAGCACATATATGGGTCTTGTTTTTGTATCCATTCAGCCACTCTATCTTTTGGTTGGGGCATTTAATCTGTTTATGTTTAAGGTAATTACTGATATACATATTCTTATTTCCATTTTGTTAATTGTTTTGGATTTGTTTTTGAAGGTCTTTTTTCTTCCTGTTTTGTTCTCTTCTCTTGTGATTTGATGAATATCTTTCATGTTGTGTTTGGATTGCTTTTTCTTTTTTGTGTATCTTTGTAGATTTTCCATTTGTGGTTACCATGAGGTTTTGATGTAGCACTCTATGTATAAAGAAGATTGTTTTAAGTTGATGATCTTTTCATTTTAAATGCATTTCCAATATCCTGCATTTGTACTCTCCTCTTCTCACAATTGCTGGTTTTGAATTCGTATTTGTATGTGGATGATTTCCTACCTTTACTGTGTGTTGGCCTTTACCAGAGAGCTTTTCCCTTTGTAATTTTCTTGTTTTTAGTTGTGGCCTTTTCTCTTCCACCTAGAGAAGTTCCTTTAGCATATTTTGTAAAGCTGGTCTGGTAGTGCTGAGTTCTCTTAGCTTTTGCTTGTCTGTAAAGCTTTTGACTTCTCCATCAAATCTGAATGAGAACCTTGCTGGGTAGCGTATTCTTGGTTGTAGGTTCTTCCCTTTCATCACTTTAAATGTATCTTGCCAACCCCTTCTGGCCTGCAGAATTTCTGCTGAAAAATCAGCTGATAACCTTATGGGAGTTCCCTTGTATATTATTTGTTGATTTTTCTCTTGTTCTTTTTAATATTTTTTCTTTGACTTTAATTTTTTCAATTTGATTACTGTGTGTCTCTGCATGTTCCTTCTTGGGTTAATCCTGCCTGGGACTCTCTGTGCTTCCTAGACTTGGGTGACTGTTTCCTTTCCCATGTTAGGGAAGTTTTCAACTATTATCTCTTCAAATGTTTTCTCAGGTCCTTTCTCTCTCTCTCCTCCTTCTGGGACCCCTATAAAGTGAATGTTGGTGCATTTTATATTGTCCCAGAGGACTCTTAGACTGTCTTCATTTCTTTTCATTCTTTTTTCTTTATTCTGTTCTGTAGCAGTGATTTCCACCATTCTGTCTTCCAGTTCACTTATCCATTCTTCTGCCTCACTTATTCTGCCATTGATTCCTTCCAGTGTATTTTGTATTTCACTTATGATATTATTCATCTGTTTGTTTGTTCTTTAGTTCTTCTAGGTCTTTGTTAAACATTTCTTGTATCTTTTTGATCTGTGCCTCCATTCTTTTTCTGAGATCTTGGGTCATCTTTACTATCATTACTCTGAATTATTTTTCAGGTAGATTGCCTATCTCCACTTCATTTAGCTGTTCTTCTGGGGTTTTATCTTCTTCCTTCATCTGGGACATATTCCTCTGATGTCTCATGTTGTCTAATTTTCTGTGATTGTGGTTTCCATTCCGCAGGCTGTGGGGTTGTAGTTCTTTTGCTTCTGTTGTCTTGGAGGAGGCTGTCTAAGAGGCTTCTGAAGGCTTCATGATGGGAGGGACTGCTTCCTGCCCACTGGCGGCTGGAGCTGGGTCTTTTTCCTCTGGAGGGCAGGGCCATGTCAGGGGATGTGTTTTACGGGCAGCTGTGTGCTCAGAAGACTTTAAGTTGCCTGTTGGATGATGCGTGGGGCTGAGTTCCTGCCCTGTACGTTGTTTGGCCTGAGGTGTCCCCACACTGGAGCCTACAGGCTGTTGGGTGGGGCCAGATCTTGGAGAGGAAATGATGGCCTCCAGGAGGGATCACACCAATGAGTTTCCACCAGTGTTTTTGTCCTTGCAGTGAGCCACAGCTGCCCCCCCAACCTCCACAGGAGACCCCCCCCAATACTAGCAGGTAAGTCTGCCCCAGGCTCTTATGAGGCATCTTCATTTTTTCCTGGTCCTGGTGCACACGAGCCCTTGTGTGTGCCTCCAAGAGTGGAGTTTTTGTCTCCCCCAGTCCTGTGGAATTCCTGTGATCAAACTCCACTGCCCTTCAAAGCCAGATTCTCTGTGGGCTCTTCCTTCCATTGCTAGAACCCCAGGCTAGGGAGCCTGATGTGGGGCTCACACTTTCACTCCTGTGGGAGAACTTCTGTGGTATAATTATTTTCCAGTTTGTGGATTGACCACTTGGTGGGTATGGGATTTATCACGATTGTGCTCCCACTGTCTCACTGTGGTTTCTTTGTCTTGTAGGATGTAGAGGATCATTTTTGGTATTTTCCAGCATTTTTTGTGGTTGATTGTTCAGCAGTTATTATTTTGGTGTTTTTGTAAGAAGGGGTGTGCTCACATCCTTCTACTCTGCCATCTTGTCTCCACTGACTGGATGTCATATAATTCCAATTGTGATTATTTTTTGTAATTCCCATATTTTTTGTTCTCAATTTATTAATGAAAATCAGGGGGAAAGCTTAGGCTTTACAACTAAATAAAACTCAGTTGGGATTCTAGCTCCACTTATTTAAATACTCTGAGCTTCAGTTTTCTCATCAGAAAAAAGGCATATCACAGGGGTGTTGTACTACACAAGGAAAAAAAAAGAAACTGCTGTCTTGGAAAATTGTGGGTTACAATTATTTTTAGGTTCCTTAGTCACTGACTTTACTTGGGGTCTAGAACATTGGTAATTCAGGCTTGTTAAAGTTGTAAATCTAGTCACAACTATTTTTTAATGAATGCCTAATTTAAGAAGCTGTACAACTTGTGTTTGATTCTGATTTGGTCCCTATGAGCAGCATCAAATATTCAATGAATCTGCATAAAATTTACAGGACCTTTTTTCTGCTCACTACTTTTGAGAGAGCAGTGCCCCTCTGAGGTGAGTCTTTGCAGTTTCCATGATAATCACAGTTGTTTCTGATCACAGAAAATATTTAATTGTATCATGAAGAGTTAAGAAGAATTTTTACAAAACTACTTTTTGGCTGTTAGGTTTTCCCTAAATTATCTGTTGGCCACTCCATTATTTTCTTATAGGCCTGATGAAATTATCCAGGTTTACAGTAAAAAAAAAACCCCACCACTATCTAAATTCTATGGCAAATGTCAAAAGCCTTAGGTATTCCTGCTTTATATCTCCTGAAGTTGGTGTCTGTAGTTTTAACCACTGCTTTAGGAAAATTAGTCTTCATTCACCGTGAGAGACCTGTGTTTTCAGCACAACAAGTAAGAATAAAGGTTTTGAGACAAATTGTGAAGTCTAGAAAATTATGGAGTATGAATAACTTCTTTGTTCATAAAAGAGATTTTCACTTTCACCTGGCAAGTGATGTACTTGATTCCTCTGTCTCACAGCTGGTATTTCATTCCTATAAAAGCCTGGTGCTGCCTCGGGAGTTCTGGTAGCAAGTCCTAAAGGAAGGGAATAAAAAACTATTGGCATGTAATTTTTAGCCCAAGTAAACCAAGTATTTTTACCTTAGAGGTGAATTTCATGATAACTATTTGGAAGGGTGTCTGTTTTGTGCCTTTACCTGAGTATTTTGGTACTGCCTCAACAGAGGACTCTTTGGAAGGAAGAAGCATTCTTCTTTAGAGGATGTAACGGGGTTCTAGACATGTAGAATCACACAGAGGCAGCATTCAAACTAGGCTATGAGACCTAGTTCTAACTCAGGTTTGAGAACAACAGAGTTGATTACTTCTTTTTTAGTATTTTGTGACATTATTTTTTGTGATATTTTTTAATAAAGATTTTTTTTTTTTTTTTTTTTTTGCGGTATGTGGGCCTCTCACTGTTGTGGCCTCTGCCGTTGTGGAGCACAGGCTCCAGATGCACAGGCTCAGCGGCCATGGCTCACGGGCCCAGCCGCTCCGTGGCATGTGGGATATTCCCGGACCGGGGCACGAACCCGCGTCCCCTGCATCAGCAGGCGGACTCTCAACCACTGCGCCACCAGGGAAGCCCAAGATATTTTTAAGGATAAATATTTCTATCACCCTAGTCTTCACTTGAATTTGGTAGCATTATAAGTCTGTTGTATACTGTGGACAGTGAGAATCATGAGGATGGATAGCTGCATAGGTAGCAGCTGTATTAGGATATAATGCTAACCTAGAAAATGATGTTGAACTGGGATAATGATTTTTAAAGGCAAACCTTCAAGTAGGACAAATTAGAAAAATGCACACCTTGTGGGCAGATATAACCCTACAGTTGAAGGCTTGGTTAGTTTCTTGGGCCAAAGAAAAAGGGGCTGTTTCCTTTAGGGGACTGCAGTTCTGTTCCAGGTAAGTGGAGCTAGGGCTCATGTTAGCTTCTGCTCACCCCCTTGGGATGTATGTTTATGCAGTGCACAAAATGCACAAGCTTACCTGGTGAGGGAAAAATGGTTACACAGCTTTAAGGAAAAATAATAACAATTTGTATAACTATTGCTTTAATGTTGGTTTCTGCAGATAGACTGTCAGTTCCATTTGGCATGGGGTATGTTAATTTTGTTCATTAGTTTATTCTCAGTGGATATCATAATATCACTCTAACTGTAGATATTGTAAATTACTTGTTAAATAGTTGGGTGAATGAATAATACGAAATGATTGTTATCCTGGAAGCTGAGAACATCAGCATTCTGGCTGGCTCACTGGGACCCTTTCAGCTCCCAATCCCTACTCTTGTCTCTCTCATCATCCTAAAGGAAATATTTAATAGTCATTCTATTAATTAGAATTATTATTCTATTAACATTTAATTTAATAAAATATTAAACTTCACCCTATATTACTTGTGGTTTATTGGGCTAAAAGGGAGTTTAAGATCCATGTAGGAAAGCAGAGTTATAAAATGATTATCAGTTTCTGGCTCTCCTAATTTCTGACCTCTCTTACTCAGAGATATTCCTCATAATTAACTCTGAAATCTTGAAAGACTCATACCTGAGACTGGAAAAAAGAAAAGATATCTGCTAACACCACATCTATTCAGCATTGTTTTGGAGGTCCTAGCTAATTTTTTCCCTTAGAAAGAAGAAATGGAACTGTCATTTTAACAGGGGGGAGCATAATTGGATACATAGATAATCTAAAAGAATTGACAAATTACTGAAATAAGTTTATAAAATATTCCGGACATGAGGTCAATATACAAAAATTAATTATTTTTATATTCTAGCCATAAAAAATAATAAAAAGATATTTAAAAATTTACAACATAAAAATATCAAATACTGAGTAATAAAGCTAATGAAAGATGTGTAAGACCTCTACAAAGAAGACTAAAAATATTAAAGTAAAGAAGACACATAAATGGAGAGATACCAAGTGGAAAATTCATTGCTGAATGTCATTTCTGACCAACTGATCTATAGATGAAATAAAATTACAATCACTATCCAGACATATTTGTTTGTGTGCAAACTGACGTTTTTTCTAAAAGTTATATGAAAAGAAAAGACCTAAAATAGCTATAGCATTCTTGAAAAAGAGCTACAAAAACAAAATTGAGGACCTATACAACCAGCAATACTATAAAGCTACAGCAATTAAAACAGTGTGGAATCGGATTAATGGTAAACACACAAATGAAATAGAACATAAAGTCTAGAAACATGCACATACATGGTAGAGTACACTAATTTGTGGCAAAAGTACCATTTCAGTGTAGTGGGGGAAATGATAGTTTTCTCATAAATGGTCCTTGTCAAGTGGATACCTAAATGAAAGTAATAAACCTTGACTCTTTCCTCACATTAGACACAGAAATACATTTCAAATGGAACTTGAACTTAAAAGTGAAGGTACAACAATAAGCCTCCTAGAAGATAGGGAAATAGTTTTATGAACTTGGGGTGGGCAAAGATTTTCTTAAAAATAAAACAAAGCACATAAAGCACTAATAATAAAAGAAAGTATTGATCAATTGAATAACATTAGCATTAAAAACTTCTGCTCATGATAAGATCACCTTTAAGAGAGTAAAAGCAAGGCACAGAATGGGAAAAGATATTTTGCCCTATATACATCCAACAAAAGTACTTCTTTTTATGTATGTATCTACCTATCTACATACATATGCAGAATTTCTTATATATCAAAGAAAGTTGGCAACATAATAACAATGAGTAAAATACTTGAATATCTTATAAAAGAGGATATTAAAAATAGTCAATAAATGTAAAAGTTCATCAAAATCATTAGACATCAGGGATATGCACTGCAAGTTAATTCTACAGCAAGACAGCACTATATACACTCCAGAATGATTGAAACTGAAAAAAGAAAATTGGAAAGTATGTGGAACAAATAGAACTTTTATACACCGTTAATGGAAGTAAAATTGGTGCAACCACTTTAGAAAACTTGGTAGTATTTCCTGAAGCTGAACATATGCATACCCTATGACCTCAAAACTCACTCCCAGATACATGTAACACAGAAATGAATTATATTTGTATTAAAAATTAGACAAGATTGGTCATAAAAGCTTTACTTATAATAGCCCCCAACTGAAAACCACCTAAAATGTTCAGCAATAATAAACTGCATAAATAAATTGAGATATATTCATATAATGGATCATTACACATCAATAAAAATCATTCAGCAACATAGATATCATACACATAATGTTGAACAAAATAAGCAAAAAATAAAAGTAAATACTGAATGATTCCATTCATCTGAGAGTCCAAAACCCACAAAACTAATCTATGATGATAAAAGTCAGAATAGTAGGTAACTTTGTGGGGGTTAGTGGCTGAGAGGGGCATAAGGGGAGGTGCCCGGGGTTCCAGTAACATTCTATATCTTGATCTGGGTAAGTTTACTTGGTGTATTCATTTGTAAAAACTAGTCTACCTGAACTCTTAAGAATTATGCACTTTGAGGTTTACATATTGCACCTCAGTTTAAAAAAAGTTTACCTCAAAAGAGGTAAGGCCAAGGAATACAAAAAGAAATTACAAATAAAAGCAAGAGTTGTGGTATTAATAGCAAACAAGGTGAATTCAGGTGAAGGACACAATATGAAATGAACAATGGTGATTAATGGTAAAGAATGTATGGATATATCTTTGAATATTTACACATGAATATTTTAAAAAATAAACAGCAGATACAAGGAAAAATAGACAGAAACACATGATTAATACAATATTTTAATTCACCTTTTCCCCATCTTTGACAAGTCAAGTAATCAAAATATAAGTAATGACATGAGAGACTTAAATAACATGATTAATAAGGTAAAACTTACAGCTACCTAATGCCACATATTTATATTAAATAACTCTTGGGTCAAAGAAATATAAACAAACTGTTTACTATATAGAAAATACTGTTAATGCAATCATAATATATCAAAAGCTATTACATGTTAAAACAGAGTTCAAAGAGAAATTTAGCCTTGTTTTATCAATATGTAAGAAACAATAAATATAAATGAATTAAGCATCTACCACAAAAAGGTGAAAAAGGAAAAAGTAAAATGAAGGAAAACAGAGGAGACTAATAAAGATAAAGCAGAAATCAGTAAGCTAAAAAACAAATTTAAAAAAACCAGTAAAACCACTGTTTGGGTTTAAACAGCAAAATAGATCAATTTAGTTACCCTAATTAAAGAAAGGCTCTCAATCTTTTCATATGTGTATTGTATATTTTTAGAAATGTTCCGTAATGAAAAAATTTTTCAGAGAAAGTACAAACATACAAGATAAGTAACTATAAAGGGTAAATGACAGGGGAATTCTACTAAAATGTTAAAAAGTAGATAACCAATAGTATTTAAATTGTTGGGCATAAAGAAGTCCTTAAAAGAAAAGATCAATGATTAGAAAAAAACTGCTCTAAGGCAAGATATACCACAAGCAAAGTTAAAAGTTAAAATTGAGAAAAATATTTGGATCTCATGTCATAAAGGGAAAATCTTCTTAACTTATGAAGAGGACTAATTAATTTAAAAAGAATGAACAACCCTATAGAAAATGGGCAAAGTATATGAATAGATAATTTACAAAAAATATTTAAAGAACTCTTAAATATATAAAAGGGTGTTCAACATCACTTATAATATGTGAGAGGTAAATTGAAACTGCATTGACATATTCTTTTTACCAAACAGACTTGCAAAGATAAAAAAATTTGATAACCAATACTTTCATGTTATTGCTAGAAGGAGAGAGAACTGTGCAAACCCCAAGAAGAGCAGTTGGGGAGTATCTATAAAGATTAAACAGGTGTATACTCTTTGACCCAGCAACTTCAATTTTAGGAATTTATCTGATAGATATACCTGCACACATTTAAAGTGAGGAATGTACCAAGGTTAGTCACTGTGGCATTGTTTGACATAGCAGTAGACTGGCACTAAACTATATGTCCTTTAATTGGTAAAATGATTAAATAAATTATAGTACACACATGTAATTCAATATCATATAAATGTAAATAATAAGAAAATACTTTATGTAATGAAATGGAAAGCAAGATACACTGTAAAGTGAAACAAGCGAAGTACAACGAAGTGCATAATATTACTATTTTTGTACAAAACAGAAGGCAAAAGTCTGTTTCTTTTTGGTTTGTTGCCTGGAAGGATAAACAAGAAACTACCAATAATGTTTAATTTTTCAAGAGAGTAGAAACAATGTATGGGGAAGGATGGGAGGGAAATTTATTTTTATTCTATTTCTTTTTGATATTAGAACCTAATAAATGTATTACTATTCAAATTCAGATTATGGATGAGAATTTAAAGTGAGGTTAAATTAATTGAATTTGATATAGAATATTAAATTATATTTTAATTGAAGATTTCTGACACGGGAAAATATCAAAGTAATATTTTAAGGAGATTAATTTTGCAACATGATATGCAAAATGAATTCTAAGAGGGAGAGATGGAAAATAGAGACACCTGTTAGAATAATTTTGTAATATTCTAGGTATGGTGTAATAAATACCTATATTAGGATGGTGCCAATGGGAATGCAAAAGAAAGGGTAAATGTATGAGACCATGCTTAACATGAAAGCAGTAAAATAAGGATTAGATGGATATGATTAAAACAGAAATTTACACAGGACACAACTAGATTCTATTCAGCCTACATTCCTGAAGAATAACAATAAACAACTAACAACTCTTAAGGAAGTAGATTGAAGAATGTCACAATTCCAGCTGAATTTCTAAAAGTCAAAATTCATTGCTTTATAAAGAGATAACTAAATGTTTATAAATTTGCATGAAGTTAAAAATAAATAAAATAATTTAAATAAAAAAATAATTTTTTGATACTCTATGAAAACAGATCTACAATTCAATGTCAAAGATATACCTAATTTTTTGGTGCTTAAAAATTTACACATTACTATGTGTATATTACAGAAAAATCAGGTAAATAAAAAATTTTTAAAAAGCAAATTATTCACAATGCTGACACCCAACAATTTGTACTATACCTTTTTTTTTCACAGACCTTAAAAACTTATTCCTAAGAAGCTTTATACTCATATTTTTAATATAATGGGCTCACAACATATATTATCATTTTTCTTTTGCCAATGAATATACATGTTTCAAAACTATGATCCAGAGGGATGGTTTCATATTTTACTGCACCTACAGTATATATTTCCCACTAATTCAGCTCTAGCTATGAGACAGTTTCTGTATAATATTACAATTTTTACTTAGCATTATTAATATATCTGCAAAATAACTTCCTTTAAAATGTTTTTAGAAGTATTATACTCATACCTCTGATCTTAATTTTTTGGGAAGTAATAAATATTTTAAGACATTTATTTCTATTTTATTTTGGAATAGAATTTGCTTATGGTTAAATTTCAAAATGAAATTACACCTAATTACCAAAATTATGAATTTCTCAAGAATTATGAAGATAAAGCAGTAGATTACTGCAATGAAGTAATCTTCAGAAGATTGAAAAATACCACTCATGTTTACCTGAAGTGGGAGACTTGCAACGCTCAAGTTCCAGGGGAACTGGACTGTCATTCAGCTCAGTTAAACCTGAAAATAAAATGACAAAAAATGAGAAAATTTGCTAAAATTTCGCAGATAATTCTTATTAATTCCTATAAGTTTTAAAAGGTTTTATTTTTCCCCTGTGAGAACTTTTCTATGCTTATGTTATGACAATTATTTTGAAAAATTTTAACAATGACATAGGAAAAAATAAGCAATAACTGATATATAAAGGGTAACTGAATATGATGGTGGAAAGATATAAAAGTCCTTTTCTTATTTTTTCATATGAAGTAACTGTTTTAGTAAATGATGTAGTTTCATCTGAAAATAAACCAAGAAAAACATGAAGTAGAAGGGGTTTTTAAAAAGATCTAATCAAATCTTCCACTTCCAAGAGAAACGGTTATTGGCTTTTTAAAAGACCTTCAAGGAGATATAACAAATTTTAAATATTATACCTATTTATAAAAATGCAGTATTGTATAGTAAATACTAAATGATTTGTTCAATGGTATCAAATTCCTTCTTATAATAAGCACTATATTTTCCTCATTTCTAATATTTCTTATATTCTATTGTCACTTTCCTGAAAAATATAAGGATAGGCACAATAGATTAATAAACATTTTGTAATTCCCACTATCTGCCAGTCTGCTTTCCTGTGTCATTCACAAAATATCCTTAGGGTTTTCCTACCCTTATTGGAGAGTTTCATATTTTTTCTTTGTAAATAAGTATTCAGAGTTTCTACTTTAATGTAAATCCCATACCCAGGGGTACTTAAGAGCCATTGTCAATTACCCAAACCATCTTTATTCATATTCCTTTCCACCACCTCCTTTATATAATTTGTACCAATAAACTTGCTGTAGGTTCAAAAAAATCATAGAATTTTAGAAAATGTCCATTGTCACACTCTATCCCAACCCTTACATTTTATAAATAAGAAACTGTAAGTTCGGAGAACTTAAACTATTTAAGGTTACAGAACTGAGTAGTGCCAAATCTTCAATAGAATTCTTTATATATTTTGCTTAAGAGTCTTTTGTCGGAAGTAGGTATTGTGAATATTTTCTTCCATTTGTGACTTAACTTTCCATTTTCTTGGTGACAATAAGATGTCTTTTGATGAGCAAAAGATTAATTTGCCTTAAGGGCAATTTATTGATTTTTTTCTTTTCTTTAGAATTTTTTTTTTTTTTGGTTCCTATATAAGTAATCATTGCCTACCCCATGGTAATGAAAATATCACTCTTTGTTTTCTCAAGAAACTTTTTTAATTTTTAGCTTTCATTTTCAGGGCTATAATTAATCTCAAGTTAATTTTGATTATGGTGTGAGGTAGGGATTAAGGTCCATTTTCCCCCTATTTGCCCAGTTGTTCATGATTATTTATTAAAAAGATTTTCCCTCCTCATTGATTTGTGTTAGTGCCTTAGTCAAAAATAAATTGACCATGTATGTGTGGGTCAAGTTCTGGATTCTCTATTCTGTAATCATTGGCCTATTTGTCTTTTTTTTTTTTTTGACTACCACACTATCTAATTAATGCAGGTTTATATTACATCTTGTAATCAGGAAGTGAAATCTTCCAACTTTGTTCTTTTGCAAAAGTGTTTTAGTTATCCTAGATTCTTTGCATTTCTACATACATTTTAAAATCAGTTTGTCAATTTCTATAAAAAGATATGTTAGATTATTATTGAGTTGTGATAAATCTATAGATAATTTGGTAGAATAAATATCTTAAAAATATTGAGTCTTCCAACCCATAAAGATGGTATCTCCTCCATTTCAATAATGTTTAAACATTTTCTTTCTGTAGATTTGAGTGTACAGGTCTTATACATGGCATTTTTCAAGTCTTCTATTTCCTCTTTGGCCTTCTGCCTAGTTCTCATATTATATTTAAAAGTGGAGTATTAAAATTACCAATAATTGTTGAATTGTCTATCCCTTTGATTCTGTCAGATATTGCTTCATGTACTTTGTAGCTCTGTTGTCAGGTGCATATATTTATAATTGTTATATCTTTTTGATATATTGACCATTTAATCATTTTAAATTGTCCCTCTTTAGTGAAATTTTTTGATTTAAAATCTATTTTGTCTGATATTGGTAGAGCTATTAGATTACTGATCTGAGATCTTTTTTCTAATTTAAGCTTCTAATGTTGTAAATTTTCTATTAGGCACTACTTTAGTAACATCTCAATATCACAAATTTTGATATTTTGTGTTTATACTTTCACTAAGTTAAAAATATTTTTAAAATTCCCTTGTGATTTCTTTTTTAAGTCATGAGCTATTCTTAATTTTCAAATATTTGGGGATTTTAAGACATATTTGTTACTGATTTCTAATTTAATTTCTTTTATGATCAGAGAACTTACTCTGCTTGATTTTAGTTCTTTATTGTTTCATGACTCAGTCTATATTTGTGAATATTCCACATCTAATGAAAAAAATGCACATTTTCATTAGTGTGGTGTAGGTGTCTATTTATGTCAGGTCAATTTGGTTAAGAGAGTTGCTTAAGTTTTTTATAGCCTTACCAATTTTTGTCCTTAGACAACTCAAGTGAAGTGCTAATCAATCAGATTCTACACAGTACTGAATTGAACTAGGGCTGGTCTGCAGCTTTAATTAGATTAGGTTTCCCTTCAAAATCTCTTTGCTCCTCAATCCAACACTCAAACTTCCCTAACCCTTCCTCAAGGGGCTGATTCCTAATTTTCCCAGTATTTGTGCAGGAAGAGGGTTGAGATGCAGTTTCAGATAGTTTAATTCAGCTTGGGTCAAATTCTATAATAACCCCTGAATGCAAGCACTTTGAGAGTGCATAAATTCTCTGTGCTTTCTCATTTGCTGCCACTTTCTCAGAAAAATTCTGAGAGTGGTGGGGTTAGTTGGCAGAGAATTGCCAAACTGAATAATTTTGTGTTTAGAGCTATTTCAGATTCCCATTCAACAGTTCAGTCCAGATAGTCATTAAACCTATAGTTGTTCCTATTCTTTGCAGTCTGTCCATCTATAGAAGGCCCATTCCTTTCCTGACCTGTGTCCAGCTCAGTCACTTGCCCCAGGTATAAAAGCAGCTGGGGGTTCTGCTTATCTATGAATGGCTCTTACCTCTCTGGAATTCAGTTAATCAAGGCTTCTTTGAATCCACTCTTCAGAAGCCTCGTAGAAAAGTATAATTTTAATTTTATCATTGTTATTATCACAGGATTTTATTATTGTTGTGTCATCATTGTTACCATGGGGATGAAGAATTTTTATATCTTTCAACATCCTATCTGGAAATGGAAAGCCCCTCCATTTATGTCTAATCTCTTGGAAATACTGTTAAAGCTGTATTGAAGGCATGTGGAACAAAGGAATGGAAACCAGGTAAACTGGTTAATCCATTACTGACACTAGTAGGTATTCATTGAAGTGCTCAGGGTAATGCCAAATAATTGTGTTTTTCCTCATAATATATTGAACACTCAATGGTGAGATTTCCCAAAGATTATGTGGAGAAAGTTATGTTTGATATATGGATAAGTAAAGCAAATGGACAACTAAATTTGGAAGATTTGTATGGTGATTCATTAGAAAATAGTAAATCCCGGTTAAGATCAGATAGAGATATTTTATGGTAAATAAATAATTGAATATCAGAAGACAAAACCCCCTTGGGTACAATGAATTATATCAACATTTATTTAAAGATTTATAAGAATATATACCTATAATGTGTCTTAATGGATAATTTAATCAATATCTTATTTGAAGTAGCAACTTGTGAATGTTAAATAAAATACCAATATTCTTTAGGAGACTAATACCCAGTGTACAAATGTCTTCACATATATAAATAGTCTACACTTTGGGAATGTTCTTACCAAATTACCATTTACCATATAAACTTCTCTGGTCTCAATGCTTTCAAATTTGATTGACATTTTAGCCAAATAATTTTTTTGTTGTGGGGTGATATATTGCAGGATGTTTATCAGCATCTATGGCTTCTACCCACTAGATGCCAGTAGAGTACTCCTCCCCGCAATTGTGACAACAAAAAATGTTTCCAGACATTGCCAAATATCCTCTGGGGGACAAAATCATGCCGGGTTGAGAACCACTGCCCTAAGTTATATTAGCTGTTTTATTTGTTCGAGTCACACTGAAATTACTATTAAACTAAACTCTAGAAAACTCACATAAATTACTAAGTAATATCTCCCCTATTTTTAATTTCTTTGTTCATTTTTTTAGAATTCAAAGATGGAACCTTATATTTTTATCAGTGTGCTTTTCAGTACAAAGTTTGGAGTAAGAAAACACTGTCAAACTGATTTCAAAAAGAAACCTATTAAAATACAGAACTGAAAAGCAGAGATGTGAAAATCACTTGTTTCATTTCTCAACCAAATCATACATTTTGTAACTTATCCCTCTGATTCTGTAGCTTTCTCCTTTTCTTTTATGTACCTCTCTATTACAATAGAGAAAACTTCCTATTAAATACTAATCTTTGTACATATGCTCTGATTTCCTCTCCTGTAACTTTCTGAAGGATTTTGCTTCTTTAGGTATTATTCCCTCTGTCCCCTACCACCAATCTCTCTTTCTCTATGGATCATTCAATATTCACATCAACTTTAAAATATGCTCTTTATCTAAAATGAAAAAAATCCTTCTTTTAACACTTTATTCCAATGCAGGTACTGACCTATTTTTTGGCACCCCTTCATAACCAAACATCTCAAAAGAGTTATTTAGTTGTGCTGTTTCCTCACTTGCCACTCCTTAGTCTAATATAATTGTAGCTTCTATCCCAATATTTTTCAAAACTACTTTTTAGAGAGTCACTAATAACCTTCACAGCACAGCACGCACTAGACCCTTTTCTAAGCTTACCCTACTTATCCTATCTGTAGCATTTGATGTGGTTGACCACTTCTTGAAACACTCCCCTTTAATTTGGCTTCTGCAATAGTCTCATTTCTTCTCTTCTCTCTGGCAAGTCCTCTCTGCCGGCTATTCTTCTTCCTT